AGTCCCACATCGGGCTCCCTGCTCAGCAGGGAGTCTGCTTCTCCCCCTGACCCTCCCCACTCTCATGCTCTCTCTATCTCATTCTCTCTCTCAAAAAATTAAATAAAATCTTTAAAAAAAAAAAAAAAGATTTTATCTATTCATATGACAGCACAAGCAGGGGGAGCAGCAGAGGGAGAGGGAGAAGCAGGCTGCCCACCGAGCAGAGAGCCAGACATGGGACTCAATCCCAGGATCCTGAGATCGCAAACTGAGCTAGAGGCAGATGCTCAACCAGCTGAGCCACCCAGGCACCCCCTAAAATTAAGGCATATTAAAACACAATATCATTTTATCTAGACTGTTGTCACAAACTTTCAAAAAATTATCACAACCAGTGTTGGTGAGAGCATGGAAGCATCCGTACTCAGGTCTGCCTGTGGATGTGATGGTAAATCCGGTATTACCTTTAAGAGAACAGGAAGCAGTAGGTATCAACATGTTGAACGTGGGCACTTCATTGGTGTAACTGTTCCAATTTAGAAATTGTTGACTTGTGTGTAAGTTGTGATTTGGCTTCACGGGTGCCTAGGGAACAGACACTAAGCTCTGCCTCTGTCCCCCTGACAGAACGGCTTTCCCACAGCAGAGGACCAGGCTGTGGCAGAGAGAGCCCTGCAGGAAATGCGGGACCTCCTTACAAGCTTGCAGCAGGAGATCGCCAAGGCCTGTGAAGACAAGAGGAGGCAGGATGAAGAGGCGGCCCAAGAAAAGCGGCAGGAGTCAAAGATGCAGCAGGGGCCGGAGGTCCCCAGAGAGACCCCAGCTCCCAGCCAGGGCCTAGGAGGGAAACAGAATGAAGGTGGGTGTTGGCGTGGATACAGTCCTTTAACCCAGAATGTGAAAGGAAACAAGAATGTGTTTAAATAACGGTGTTAAGTTTCAGGACGATATACCAGAACTTTTAGATTATGTAAAATTCAGTACTGAATTTTTACTGAATTTACATTCAGTTTGGTTGATGCAGAGCCAGACACTAGCCATGAGGACTTGAAATTCTGTGTCATTCTAGTAGATGTATTATCCCAAGTTTTGCTTCTCTGAGGTTTTGGGGTTTTTGTTTTTTTGGTGTTTGTTTTTTTAAATGCAGTTTTTTGTTTTTGTTTTTTTAAAGATTTTATTTATTTGACAGAGAGAGACACAGAGCATAAGCAGGGAGAGCAGCAGAGGGGGAGGGAGAAGCAGGCCCCCCACTGAGCAGGGAGCCCAACACGGGGCTTGATCCCAGGACCCAGGATCATGACCACAGCCAAAGGCAGACGCCCAACGACTAAGCCACCCAGGCGCCCCAGTTTTTTGGGTTTTTTTTTTTTTTTAAGATTTTATTTGAGAGAGTGTAAGCAGAGGGAGAGGGAGAAGCAGGTTTCCTGCTGAGCAGGGAGCCTGATGCGGGACTCAGTCCCAGGACTGCCCAAAGGGAGACACTTAACCGACTAAACCACCCAGGTGCCCCAGCTGCTCTGAGTTTTTAAAATAACGCACGATCGCTTTTCGGCCTTTTGGCTAAGATCAAGGGTAAAATAAATATGTTCACAATAGATGCTCACTTAATACATAAGAGGATCAGTATATCATAATGGTTGAGAATGCTGGCTTTGGAGCCAGATCTGTGGGAATGTAGTTTTTCTACTTCCTGGCCATGTGACTTTGGCAAATTAACCTTTCTATGCCTATTTCCTTATCTAGAAAATGAAGATAATGTATCTACTTCATAGGGTTGTTGTGACAATGAAAGCAGTTAATATCTATATCAGCTGATTAGAACAGTGCCTGGCTTATTTTAAGTGTTCAGCGAAGGGGCACCGGGCTGGCTTAGTCGGAAGAGTATGAGGTTCTTGATCTTTGGGTTGTGGGTTTGAGCCCTACGTTGGAGGAAGAGATTACTTAAATAAATACATATTTTTTAAAAAAGCGTTGAGTAAATGCTAGCTATTATGAAAGCCTCGCTCTTCTTTCTCAGACCTCCAGGTGAAGGTACAGGATAGTACAATGCAGTGGTACCAACAGCTGCAGGACGCTTCTAGTCAGTGCGTGTTGGCCTTTGAGGAATTGACCAACAGCAAAGACAGTCAGGTAGGGAGGGCTGTAGGTTGGGAACCCTCTGGGCCTGGTAGTGCTGTGAACAGCCTCCTGTCCCAAAAGAATGTCGCTAGTATGTCACATTCCCCAATCCTACTGGCATCTACTCAGCCCTTCCAAACACTGCCTGCTCTCTCACTGTTCTCTCCTGGCAGGCCAAAAAGATAAAGATGGACCTCCAGAAGGCTGCCACCATCCCAGTGAGCCAAATCTCCACCATTGCAGGTTGGTCAGAGGAGTTAAGACTGTGGCCCTTTGCTTCATTTTGTTATTTTTTTTAAGACTCCAGATCTACTCCTCTGTAAGGTTCCTATAGACAGAGTCTGTTCAAACAAGTGACATTGGATCAGGCATGTATAAGTTATGTCTTATTCTCATTCAGAAACAACGGTTCGTTTTTATAGAGCTGTGATATGGAAGCTTCCAGGTTACAAGCCGTGCTGCCCGGTGGCTGGCGAGTGTGAACAGCTGAAAATCTGCTCTGACTTATCCTGGGTCCCGGTTCCCCTGACTCACTTGTTGCCTAGAAAGTGTAGACAAGTTGCAGTTCTTGACCATGAGAGATGCTATGACAGAATTTACATATCACCCTGCTGCCTGAAGTTCTCTGTGGATCAGGGCAAGGTATAAATAAATAAACCTGAATCACCTTCTGGACTTTAAAGTGCCATTTCCTTTGTTCCCAACAGCAATGGGGGTGAGCTTGACCTGACAGCCATGCCACCCCGTCACTGCTCTACTCAGTCTCCCCAGTCCTGTTTCATTCTTCACTTCTGATCAGGGTCTAGTTTTGCTGTTCTTCACTTTACTGCGTATTTCCTGTGTTTCCTTTGTCTGCACCATCATGGTTAAGTCTTTGAAGAGCCAGATGCAGACATGCTCTAGAGTCAGTGCTCAGTACGTGCTGAGTACGGAGAAAGGGATGGTCTAATTCCTGCCTCTTGAAAGGCAGACATCCATGAGTGGTTAGATTTGGAGCAGAATTTAAATCTCTCTGGTGCTGGTGTGGCATATGGGATGTGGGAGGCCATGCCAGGCAGAGGGTTGGGAGCTGACTTTCCTAACTGGAGCAGCACAGAGAAAGGGGCTGATAGGAAATTTGGTCCTTTGAAACCATCAGTAAAGTAGTACTGAAGTATGACTTAGCAGGGGTGGGAGCTACTATTTTGGTATCTCGGTAAGGTTTAAGTAATGGAGACCAGTTTAGATCTGCTGAGGCCAAAAAAAAAGGCATTTATTCTAAAGCTACAGGGGTGTTTCTCAGAACCTACTGGCAGGAATGGGGTAGGTCTCAGGAGCTAGAAACCCTAGGAACCTTTTCTCTCATCTTCCCTCTGCACATCTCTGATATTAGGTAGACCACTGTTCTTTGGACCACTCAGCAGGTGCAAGACCCTGGTGTTCATGAGCACGTGTATTGCAGGGCCAGCCACTTCCAGGAGGTGACTCATTCAGTTGGCTGATTGGCTCAGCTAGTCACTCCTCATCAAACTGTAGCCAGCTTGGAACTGGGGTACACAGGATCCGGAATACAAATAAAGCCATTGTGAGCCCACCTTGGCATATCTGAGGATGGAAGGAGGCAGGTCCCAGAGAAGGGGGAGTCATTGAGAGCTGGGAAGATCCTTTAGAAGGGTTTTCCCAGAGATGCAAATGACTCCTCTCAGGATGTCGGCCACATGGGATCTGTAGCCATCCCACACCTGTTTCCGTACCATTTCCCGCTCTGTGTGTCAGTTTCAGAATGTGTTTCTTCCCAAACAAGGAATTCCTTTGAAATAGTACCACGTTTCATGTACTTCTGCACCTCAGACAACACATATTTTATTTGCGTGTCATATATTTTTCTGCAACAGTATTTTGCTTTAGCTTCTGACCTTGTGCAGGGCTGCATGGCTGGATTTTTTGTAGAGGCCTTCTTATTGCAGTGATGAGAAGCAGAGTGGTCTGCAGTTGAGTCTTTTAACCAACTTTATCTCCGCCATACCCAGGCTCAAAGCTGAAGGAGATCTTCGACAAGATCCACAGCCTGCTCTCTGGAAAACCCGTTCAGTGTGGCGGGCGCTCTGTGTCCGTCACCCTGAACCCACAGGGCCTGGACTTTGTCCAGTACAAGCTGGCAGAGAAATTTGTGGTGAGAATCCTTGTTGCCAGAGGTATGGGGGGAGGCTGGGGCGCAGCCTTTAAGCTTCTCTTCATAGTAACTAATGTGGTCCTGTCTCTGCTCCCCCAGAAACAAGGAGAGGAGGAGGTGGCCTCTCACCATGAAGCAGCATTCCCCATTGCGGTTGTGGCATCTGGAATCTGGGAGCTCCACCCCAGAGTGGGCGACCTCATTCTTGCTCACCTCCACAGGAAGTGTCCCTACTCTGTTCCCTTCTACCCGGCTTTCAAGGAGGGAATGGCGTTGGAAGACTATCAGAGGTGAGGTTGTTTTTCTCCTCACTCTCCTCAGGGGCTGAATGAAATACAAATATAACTGGGGTTTGGAGGTGTCTGGGTGGCACAGTTGGCTAAGCTTCTGACTCTTGATTTCAGCAGCTCAGGTCATGATCTCAAGGTTGTGGGATCGAGCCCCATGTTGGGCTCTGCACTGAGCACCGAGTCTGCTTGAGATGCTCACTCTCTCTCTCTCCCTCTGCCCCTCCCCTTGTTCGTGTGTGCACTTTCTCTGTTTCTCTCTCTCTCTAAAATATAAATAATCTTAAGAGAAAAAAAAGAACTGGGGTTCATTCTCCCTCCTTTCAAAGCTCCTCATATGTACCTGGAATGTTCTATCAGATAATCCAATGTCTTTCATACAGACTGGCTTCTTTGGGATTTGTGGAATCAGGTGCAATAATTAATATAGTTTAGGGAAAAGAATACTGGATCTAGAATCCGGGGTTTTAGAATTGTGCCCAGCTTTATCATTTAATGATTTGCAAAGTGGGTCAGTCACTTAAGCTTTTTTTTTTTAAGATTTTATTTATTTATTTGACAGTGAGAGAGAGAGCACAAGCGGGGTTGGGGCAGGCAGAGGGAGAGAGAGAAGCAGGCTCCTGGCTGAGCAGGGAGCCCGACATGGGGCTCGATCCCAGGACCCCAGAATCATGACCTGAGCCGAAGGCAGATGCTTAACCGACTGAGCCACCCAGGCGCCCCAGTCACTTAAGCTCTGAGCATCATTTTCCTTGTTTGCAAATGGGGGTAATGATATCCATCAGTCCTGTGACTTTGGGGTGCCTGGCTGGCTCTGTCGGTAGAGCGTGCAACTTTTGATCTTGGGGTTATGTGCTTGAGCCCCACCCTTGTTGGTGCAGAGATTGCTTAAAAATAAAATGTTTAAAAAAAAATCCTGGGACGCCTGGGTGGTTCAGTTGGTTAAGTGTCTGCCTTTGGCTCAGGTTGTGGTCCCGGGGTCCTGGGATCGAGTCCTGCATCGGGCTCCCTGCTCGGCAGGAAGTCTGCTTCTCCCTCTCCCTCTGCCTGCCCGCTCTGCCTACTTGTGCTCTCTCTCTGTCAAATAAATAGATGGAATCTTTAAAAAAAAAAAAAAAAAATCCTGTGAGTTTACCTTGCAGGGCTTATGTGATGCACAGATGTGATTGTCAATATGCTTGCTTTGTAAACAAAGTATTCTGCAGAGATATTGATATGTAGTAACAATAATGATATGTAGTAAGAATAATGCTAAAAACGGGCACCTGGCTGGCTCAGTCTGTAGAGCATGCGACTCTTGATCTTGGGGTCATGAGTTTGAACCCTATGTTGGGCCTAGAGTTTACTTTAAAAAAGAAAAAATAGAGGCGTGTGGTTGGCTCAGTTGTAGATTATGCAGCTCTCAATCATGAGGTCGCGAGTTCAAGCTCCACATTGGGCATGGAGCCTACTTTAAAAGACTAATACTAATGCTAGTAATAATACTAATAATAATGCTAAATGTAATAATACTAGATTGTTTCTTTTATCCATAAAAAGTTGTGATTTGTCATCCTCACTTTGGCCTTGTCACACTGAATTTTTTCTTTCCACACAGGATGCTTGGCTACCAAGTGAAGGACTCCAAAGTGGAACAGCAGGACAACTTTCTAAAACGCATGTCTGGGATGATCCGACTCTACGCTGCCATCATCCAGCTCCGGTGGCCATACGGAAGCCGACAAGAGGTAGTAGAAAAGGCCTGCTATCAATAGTGAGAAGTCAGACCGTATTTGTGTATTTTGTCCCCGGGGACTATTGCCCTTCTTGCCGCTGGGGCAGTCTCATTATATGAGAACTTAGTGTGTATCGCTACTCCCTAAGTGTGCTTTAGAGAAGTTGATGTTGAGTATTGGGAAACTTGGTCCAGCAGAGCTATTTGATTTAGTTGAGCCTTTAAAGAACTGGATTTGTAAGAGCGTCTACCAGATGACAATCTGTTGTAAACCAGTCATTAAGGTTAGAAGATTCTATTAGAAGAGGAGTGATTTAAATGATAGAGTATCAGGTGGTGTTGTTGTTGTTGTTATTTAAGTAAGTTCTTAGCCCAGTGTGGGGCTCGATCTCATGACCCTGAGATCAAGAATCGCATACTCTATTGACTCAGCCAGCCAGGCGCCCCGATTCTGTCATTTTAGACCTGGTTGGTGCCTCATGTCACAAATGAGCAGATGGAGTCTCAGCAAACTATGGTGACACACACTGTCAGTGACAAAGCCACAGCTGGGGTGCAGGGCTTTGACCTGCTAACCCAGTGCTTTTCTCAAAGAACACAGATTAGAGATATGGAGAAGTTAATGTACTCGGGAACCTAACGAGAAGGGATCATAATGGATCGAATCCAAATTTTTATCGTGTACCTGCTGTGTCCCAGGTTCTGTGCTAAAGGTACCAAAAATAATAAATAAAATGTCTATACTGGTAACTGTTGAAATCCCTGAAACCAAAGCTGCCACATGTGTAAAAAAATGTGTGGGTTCCAGTGTGTTGGGACATTTGAAAACAATTTGTTCATCTTGTGTTGTTCTGCCCTGCGGCATGTGCTTGATTTTGATGATCCGGGGGGTTCATGTCACTTAGTAATGGCTAGAGGATAACCTTGGGAGTTTAGATCTCTGGATACAGTGAGATCAAATTGTGACCAAGTGTCTTCCCTCCCAGATTCATCCTCATGGCTTAAATCACGGCTGGCGCTGGTTGGCACAAATCTTAAATATGGAGCCCCTGTCAGATGTGACAGCCACCCTCCTCTTTGACTTCTTGGAGGTACGTAATGCAGTTACCACATGAGAGAGAGACAGTGGTTGAAGCAGCCTTCGGCCACTGCGTGACCTGGATCAGGAAGCAATATAGAAACAGAGGCTGATGGTGAGAACAGCATTAAGATCCGGTGTCAAACATTTTTCCCGAGTGCTAAAGACAAACCTAGCTTTTGGCTTTTCTTCCCACTGTGCTTTCTTTCTCTGTGTGCTTGTCGTCTTATTGTAAAGAAGAAAAAAACTGTACATCCCAGCACAAGCAGAAAGGGACATTTGTTTTAGGGATAGAGCATTGACTCCCAGAACCAAGGGTAGAATGTACAGTTGACTCTCATGTGGGCCTTGAACCAAGAACTAGAATGTTACCAGATACGAGGAGTCTTTCTGCGGCCACGTGGTCCTTCCTGTGCTCTTCTTGCAGGCTGCTTCCTTATAAGCCAGCTTTCTCTAGTTCTCTGTGCCCAGGGGAGAAGATGGGCCATCCTGGGCTCTAGCCCTTCGCCTCAGTGTGGTCCCCCAGGGTAGTGGAACTGCTATCCCATCTTTGTGATCCCTCATTCCTAGGGAGAACGAATATGATCAGCTAGCTTGGGTCAGGTATCTCCATTGTCCGGAAAGTTCTTTACAGTCCTGTCTGCCTATGAGGGGCCACCACTATAGGATGAGGGTAAGGGTTTCTGTGGAAAGGAGACATTTCTTAAAGGTTAAAGGCTTGGGGGCACACACCATAACAGATCTGGGCTGTTGAGCCTAGAATGCCAAATGCTTCCATTCACCTTAGAGTTCCTGAAGTCACACAACATGAGCAGAGATCATGACTAAATTTGAGAACACGGTGATGTTCTGTATGCTCTGCTTATTACAGTTAGGAAGAATGCCATGCCTTCAAAAAGGTTTCCATTCAGTAGAATCAAAGAATAAATAAGTTTGATTCACATTTTCTAGTTTGCTAAAATACCTGGCCTCTTGGCGGTCTGGTTTAATGGAGGTATTATCATATATAGAGAAGTGCTTCCAAAGAAGGTTGGATTTTTCCATTTATTCCCTTGCAGAGCTAGCTAAGTGGCACTGTGGCTGAAATTCTTGGTAGGAGTGAAAGGCAGAGGGCTGGTGTTCTTTACGGATCTCTTGTATGAGCGTGACTTTGCATTCTCTGCTCTGACGGTGCCTGTCTTTCCCTAGGTGTGTGGAAATGCCCTCATGAAGCAGTACCAGGTACAGTTCTGGAAGATGATCCTTCTCATCAAAGAAGACTACTTCCCCAGGTATGTGGCGCATTGAGTAGACTACACGGGACTCAGTGGGTGAAACACATGGCATCAGAGGCCCTTGCGTGCTGTGACATGCTGGGTTTGACTTGGTTAAAAGCACCTGTATTAAGTGTGACATCTTCTCTTATCCTTCTCCTCTCTGATATTCGAATAAATGCTTTTGAACTGTAATGAGAGTCTCTTAAATATTGTTGGCTAAATGAAAAAATGAATTAAGAAGATCCTGGATTCAGATATCTGACATTTCTTTAACTCTGTTTTCCAAACTCCCCCAGGTAATCTGGGATGGTGATTACACGCAGGCATGAATTAACCCAGAGAATCAAACTCCCTTAATAAGTCAGTTTCTCCAACTGTTTGCTTGACTCATGGCGTTCGCCTTTAGGTGCCCTTCTCATTCCTCAACACCCTGGCATTTCAGCTGAGCGAGAGGCCTTGGCAGCACCCATCCCGCCTGCTCGCAAAGACCTTGGAAAGGAATGTCCTCTCTTCTCCTTTATCCCCTGGTTTGAAAAGAAGCCTGAGACCGTTTGGAAGAATGACAGCATCCTTAGTCCAGAAGACATCTGAGTCATTCGATCTACCCCTTCCTCTAGATCTGCAATGTCCCAAACTCCTCTCCAAGAGGAAGGTGGGAATCATAGCTGTGATCTGTGTGTCTTCTTCTTTCTGCAGGATTGAAGCCATCACAAGCTCAGGACAGATGGGTTCCTTCATACGCCTCAAGCAGTTCTTAGAGGTAAGATGTCCTTAGACCAACATGTTCTGAGCTGTTGTTGACCTTGAGGGCACCTGTGTCTCGCAAGTCATGGACCTCTAGGCTCTCGGATTGCAGTCTTCCTCTTGATTTTTTTATTTTATTTTATTTAAGTCATTTCTACACCCCACATGGGGCTCAAACAACCCCAAGATCAAGAGTCACCTGCTCTTGCGACTGAACCAGCTAGTCGCCACCCCTCTTGATTTTTTTTGAACCTTATTTTTTTGTCCTTGATTCCCCCTTCACCTTAAGGGATGGCATTCCTTCTTCTTATGCGCCATCGTCCATGCTGCCTGAGGGGAAACTGTCTTAGGGATGAATAAAATATACTTAATGAGTCTGGTGTCACTAATAAATTTCTTGCTTGCTGGCTGAGGTTCTTTCCTCAGTCTCAGGTCAGGGGAACTGGGAAATTTGGTCCATCTTCTCCATGAGAACCAACTACACTTTCAGCCAGACTCCTCCCGTTTCTCAGTGCTGGAAACCAGAGGCTAGTCTGACCAACAGCCTAGAAGTCTGTGGTAGGTCTGCCAGGACAAGACCCCTGACTTCCACTTTCCAGTAGCCCGAGTGGGCAGAAGGCGGTTGAGAAGGATGAGGCGGGGCTGTGGGAGGCAGGGTGGGGGCAGCATAACCAGCAGCCTGGCCTTGGTCCTCTGCTGCAGTTCACACAGAAGGAGAAGTCTCCTTGCTGCCATTGGTCTCACTCTGCCCGCTGTTGACCGCTGTTCGGAGGACTTGAGCTTGCTGTCCCTCAAAGCTTCTTCCAAATGTTAGATGTCAGAAGGAGCGTTACCAGAAAATCATTCTGTTTTCTCCATCTTTCTCTGACCAGAAATGTTTGCAGCGCAAGGAGATTCCTGTCCCCAAGGGCTTTCTGACTTCCTCCTTCTGGCGTTCCTGATGGCCCTCCGTCACCCACTGTCACCGTTTTGTTGCAAAGGGACAATAATAAAGCAACTGAAAACAGCTGTATTTGGGAGAAGTCATGTCAGATTTAGAAATCCACCAATATATTTGTACCTTGCGACTAGGAGAGGAGACTTTTCAGGGGTCCCAGAACCTAGCGGGTCTCTTCAAAGGCTGGAGGCTCCTTAAGGGGTCCACATGGCAGCGTAAATGGCATTGGCTTTTCTCATTTCTGAAGTATGGTGAGAAGAGTGGTTTAGTACTTGGTCTCATCATTCATTTCCCTTGTGTCTGGTGTCTTTCAGAAAGTACGTAGTACCTTAACCATTTAACTCTGAGCTGAAATGAGCCCACCACTTGCCCAACTCCATCCTCTCCCACTGCCCTCCGACCCCCACCAAGTCATGCTGTCCTCGTTCAGGGTACAGGCCCAAATCCTTACATGCAAGTCTGGGTTATCGTTGTTTTGCCTTTCTCGGCTTGTGAAGTCATTATAAATTCAGAGGAAATGCCTGATATAGACATAGATTAAGTCCCAAATTGTATCAGAGATAGTTTAGCATCTGGGACTAGGACTGTTAATACATGTTATGTTGAACAGGGTGCACTGTTGGTCCTTTTAATTTGGAATTTGGCCCCTGGAAGACTAGGGATGCATGAACCAGGGATGGTGGGGGAGGGGGGAGCTTGTTTTTGAATTTGGTTGAAGACGGGCTGAGATGGCCTTGCAACATTATGCATGAGCCAAGCATCTACAAGCAATGACTCAGGGGTTAAATAAAATAAAGGTGTTTGGGAAGAATTGGGAACTGCTTTAGAATTGTTGACATGTCCTGAGTAAAGAGTGATGATAGATTCGCCTGACTAAAGCTACTACAGAAATTCAGAGCTTGGCTGTTCAGGTAAGAATTGAGGTTTGTTTTAGGGAAGACTCCTCGTCTTTTGTACTACAGGCAGCCGTGGATCTCCTCTGTACTGTGTGTCGTCTGCGGGGATGTGTTTTGGGGGGCGGGGTATCCCCTGCTACTCTTGAGCAGCTTGAAGTGATACCTTCTATGAATCGTTGACTCTGGTGCCAAAAAACAAGGAATAAAGCTTGATTTTTAAAAACCCATTGCTAGTATCTAGATGGTTGATGTGACCATTTCCTATACCTTGAGCTGTGTATGTCACTGGCCTAGCTCTAGAATGGTGTGTGTTTCTCCCTATTTTGTCTTCTTGACCTTCACCTAGGGAAAATTGTTGTTTTTTGGTCATTCCTTTTTGGAATTATGTACCAATAACTGACCTGGTTTTATCTAGCAGGAATGGAAAAGTACTGAAGTCTTTTCATGTGGATGCAACAGAATGAACTCTGGGGAAGGTGTCAGGAGACTTAGTGCAATTCACTTTTAGGTTTTATGTCCTTGGGTGGGTCATTCACCACCTCTGAGCCCTGCAAAAACACAAGAATTGGATGAGTCGGGAGCATAGTAGTTTTCAGGGCTCCGTGGCAGTGCCTTAGGGCAGAGCCTCCCAGCAGTTATGTCAGGGGCACAGACCCATTAGCCTGCAGGACCTGCAGTGGCTGTGGCCCTCAAGGCCAGTTGCTGTTTGCCATTGTTTTCTATGCATTATGACCAGGAAGAGATTGGGAAGCCCTGACTTCAGAATGTTGAGTGGATGGGGCCCAGCCCTATAATCTGTGATCACCTGAGGTGCACAGGGCCCTACTACAGTTTGTAGCTTATATTTTGCCCAGCTGTACATGGGGCCCTAAGGGAACCCTGGGATCCTCTCTGCCACAGGGATTTTGCTATATGTGCTGTATATATAGATTGTGGTTCTATGTAAGATTATATATGGGAATGTTCCTCCAAAAATGAAATGTGAAAAATGACTGAACAAAATGATCTCTGAAGTCCATTCCACTTTGAATCTGTCTGTACCACTCCATAGAAAACACCTCTCCTGATATTTGAATGTTCTTTCTCTAGACATGTTTAACAGTCTTGCACACATCACTCGATGCTTAGAATTCCTAATAGGCTCTTGATGGTAAACCAAGAAAGGAGAGCATTGGGGAAGCCAGGTTTTTGATACTCGCTGACAGGGTCGTCTTGAGAATGATTGCTGGCCAATAGATACACCTCTGATGGCAGCATCACATTCCTAAAAGTGGAATACTAAGGCTGGCATCCAGTTTTTAAATTCAAGCACTCACTTGCCTGCTTGCTTCCTTTCAAGCTTGACCTCATTTCTCAGGCTGAGTGCCCATATTTTTATTCTGTCATTGTCCTATATCATTTTAAAGCAAACCTGAGGATGAGTTAAAAATTCCAACAGGAGAGAAACCCTGCACATCCCTCAGATAGAAGAATGGTTCTGGAGAGTTCCTTCCCCTACTCCTCAAGCTTCCCATGATGAAAGCAGTGACCTAACTAGGTTTGGCTGTCTTCCATCTCAGTGCCAGGGCAGCCAGGGGAGCCACAGAGCCTCAGACAGAGTCCTTTCCAGGCCTGGCCTCTCATTTCCCCTTTCTCTGTCCCACTGAATGAGTTCCTGACACTAGATTTCCTGTGGACCTGCAGAAAGCAGGTGAGAGCAGTGGTGAATTTGTAGTAACACCACATTCCGTGTGGAGCCTACTTAAAAGAAAAAACTTACTCTCTAGTTTATAGCTGGGCTCCATTTTTTTTTTTTTTTTAA